GATCAGCTGCAGATAACAGAGCAGAGAGGGGGAGGACAGGGAAGAAGAGCGGTGAACTTAACTTTATCGGACTTATTTTATTTTACTTATTGTTTTTATTGTCCTCTGAGATAAAAATTAATTTGAAGCTGAGTTTTTGAAATAAATCATTAGATCACTCTAAATGTCTGTAAACCTGCAAAATGAGGGAAAAGCTGTGTAAATTACGGATACAGACAATATGTTCACGTGAGCAGCTGTCAGCACCTGTCTTCCTCCAGATGCATGACGCAGCGCGTGTCTGAACCGGCCAATCACTTTTTTTGACACTGATCAGCTGACTGATTTAAATACACCTTAACATTCATGAGGTACTTTGCATTGACTGTTTATGGTTGAGTGTGGACGTGTAGAGGGTAGAACCTGAGGCGGGTTCTTGTGCGCAAATTATGAGGCACAGCTGTTATCTTTAAAGGGAAAATGCAGTGAAACATGCGTGCGCACGGTTTTAAAAATCTGATTTTTTTTTTTAGCGTATGCCATTTCATCTTTTGGCCGTATGTTCATTTTTAGTATGGTTTCCACGCAATCCTTTATAAATCTGACCCCTCCCCTGGTTCTTAGAACTATGTGCAACATATGAACACATCAAATCATTAGGACAAGTAGGTAAAAAAAAAAAAAAAAAAACTGGCCACAAAAAGAGTACAGTCAGATTAAAATGAATTTAAGCACTTAACATTTAAAAATAAAAAGCATGACATTTTTAACGTTCAGTTCAAACCAGCACATCGTATTGCTCTATCCACAACAAGACTTAAATCATGTTGTGTAAATATAGGAAAACAAAGTCAAGTAACACAACCAATAAAATCTCAGTTGCTAAAAAAATAACAGCACAACTTCATGTGGGAACCTCCAAGTCCACCAAGGTCAAAATACACATTTACAACTTTATACATTGCAGGCATGTGTGGAACAGTAACTGTATGTGGTGCAATGTCAATAGTTTCTTTGTTTACTGTGATTTATAATGGGTGCAGGAAGCACCTTTACAGTAGGGTTGTGTAATTGGATCTCCAGTAGATAGTCTCTGAATTCCACCGCAGCCTCTGTGTCTAATGGCCCACCCACAAAGGGCTCCTCCTGGCAACATGAATCATCCTCATACAAATCAGGATGCCGGACATTTTCACTAAACTTTACATAGTTTAGAAGACAAAATAAAAAAAGACAAATTAAGTAATGTAATTTTTTTGATGGCAGTGGGTTAAAAGGCAAATGAACTAAACAAAGTACACCCAACATTAATTGCACTTTCTTCAAATTTGATCATGTTTCTTTGGCCTTAATTGAAAGTGATCACAGAGTCACCCCCCATAACGACACCACTGTCACTCCAAATTTCAGCCAAGTGGGTTTGCAGTGTACACTCACAGGGTGGTCACGCTTTCTTTGTGTTTGAACTGGCACCAGTGACAGCAGAGCCTATCCCAGACTCCGAATACAGCGGTTGTGAGTCATTGTGTGCAACCATAAACTTTTGAAGAGGAGACAGGGTTTAGACAAGGGTCCTGAGTAGCTCACAGACTCACAGTGGACTTTGTGCTTTTGTGGGCATGCATTATARGACATGGTAGGACAGCACTAAGTGGTGTGAAGGAATTGCAATCTGAGTCACACTTTAATGACTTTTCTTTTTCCATCCCCCTCCTCTTTCCTTCTCCCCTTTCCCTCAATTCTTTTTTTTAACAGATACCCTAACAACTGAGCAGTGATGACATCTGAGCGGCTGACCAATCGCACCTACAAAGCACAACAATCATAATGAAGACAAGACCTGCAAAAATCCCTCAAAATCCTACAACAGAATTCATCATAATCTCTTCCTGCTCCTGTCCTTTTTTCTTGGTATTTTACTTGCAGCTTTTTTTCTACAAAATATGAAAAAAAGAGGAAAAAAAAGCAACAACAACAGAGACTCATAATCATGAGATGATTTACAACACCAGATAACTACTTTGGAATAACTATTTTCTTTTCAGTGGGGAAGATCAATAATGCATGTTACTGTAAATAGATCCTAATAAAGCCCTGTTCTTATTCCTGAAACAGGAATCATACCAAGTTGCTGTCAGCAAATTCATAACCTTCATTACTGTGAATAGAGTACTCATGGTTTGATTTTTCATGTAAAAAAAAAAAAATCTGAGTTCTTCTTATATCTCAAAGGCCCGCGAAAAGTTCATTTCAGATATAATTTCTGTTGTCTTTGGTGTTGTTTGAGCTGTAAAAATGTACTTCTTATTCTCTTTCTGTAACAGCTTAGTCTTCCTCTCCAATAATCATATTACATGTATATAGAGATGAGTGAGAATAACAGCATGGACAAGACTATAGTTTATATTTACCAGCCTGTTAGACCACAAATCTCATTGAGTTAGCATTTTGAAACTCTGGCATTCAGTAGCTAAATACATACAGTATCTCCAGGTATTTTTTTTCAGTGTGTATGAATAGATATGCAAAATCATTAGAGATAAATATTGTCTTATAAGGCAGAAACTCATTTGGTTTCATCACTTTTTTTGTTTACTTTTGCTGGGGAAAGCTGGATCATCATTAACCTGACTTAACACTGTTGGCTGTTGTACTTTTTTATGTTTTCATTATGATTTATTGTAATTTGTAATGTTTATCTACAACTGCTTATTAGAGGTATTCCCCCCTGCAATAACTGCCCTCTAAATACCCGTGTATTGCCTGTTGTAGCAAAGCTGCTGTCAGTCAGAATGGGACACCTTTTTTTATTTCTCTTTGCATGGTTTCAAACCGTGCTTTATTCCTGAGCCTACACATGGGCAAAAAAAAGGTGGAATTCCTCACTGACTGCAATGTGGACATGAGGACTCTGACCTTCGTCTTCCATGAACTATGAAGATAAGCATATGCACTGACAGATAACATGCCCAGCCAATGAAACGGATGACCTCAAAGATTAGTCTTTCACTGTTGAAGACAGAAAACATTTGCATGGACAACAAGGGAAAGCAAAACTAGCTTGTTGAACAACTACTCTCCGCCATTGTGCATCCTCTACCTCTCAATGTGTGCTGTGCATCGAGGAGCTGATGTCTTATCAGTGACTCCCTTTTTTATGCCCACAGTTCACTTTTCTGCTGCATGTCCCCTCAGAGCCTCACGTGGGAAGTTCAGCACTGAATGCTACATAGCGATGGGGAAACCAACGATTTACTTTGAAGCAAATGTACACATTGCTTGTTGCTGTATATATGTATACTATGACCAGTATATGTAGTTTCAGATGGTGTACTCTGCATGTTAACTTGTAGATGGAACACGACAACTATTCATAGACAAGGACAAGCAGGTATCCATTCAGTTGAACTGATAAACYAGTGTAAGTTTAACACCTCCTTACTTTGATTTCTGAAAATGTAGATGATAGAAGCGATTTTATGCTTCCAGTTCGCATGTCATCCTCCATCGAAGAGCAGTACCAATACCATGTAAACACTTTGTGAGGGACCCAACCCTCCTTTTTGATGTCAGACCAAGCATGAGTAGAAGAAGAGAGGGTAGGAAGGCAAAGCGAGAGTGCTCCAGTTAAGTGGCAGCAAACAAAGTGGCACGGGGCATCCTGCCAGCAACTGTCTATTCATCTTGTGTCAAAGGGATTTGCACATTTCAGTGAGTCTACACACTGACAGAGAAGTCCAAGAGCAGAGCAGAGGAGAACAGAGAGAGGAGGCAAGACTTGAACAAAATTCCCTGCGCTTGTGTTGAAACATTTTCTGGTCCTGGCAACTAAATGATACTTATTTCTGACCTGCTTGGAGAGCTCAGTAACTCCTTGACCTCAAACTGTTACACCCGCATGCAGCTCTCTTAGCTGTCAAGATCTCACATCCTGTCTGAGGTTAACTTTGTGTTAATGAGTAGGGCTCTTGGCTTGACCAGATGTTCGGCCTTTTGGGTAAACACCTGTTAATTCAGTTTCTTTTCTTTTCTTTTCTTTTAATCCCTGCCCAAGTTAAAGGAAATCATTGCCAAAAATAAATAAMCTACAAAATTAAAACTGAGCTTTTTTAGACTCTAAAGATCAAATGCGTTATTTTGCAGAAAACTGTATAAAAACAATTAAGTCAGACTTAAGTTCTTTAATTCAAATGCTATATTAATAACTGAAGCTACAACCGTTTTGGTCAATGTAGAGCCAGTGAAGAAATTCTCTTGAATCAAATTTTGCACTCTGAAAAAAGGAAACATATTTACAGTCAACACATAAACAAATATRAAATCAGGACTTACTTCCTAACGGTGATTAAAGAAGTTAAAGAAGATTTAAAATGCAAAAAGGATGAAGGTGTCAGTCAAATAGCAGACAGCTGTGGCAATAAAAAAAACACTGATATGAGACGCAAGCCTTCAGCTTTCTTAGCCAAGCCTCATTTTTGCACAGGAATTTTATTATGTGACAGGTTGATTTGCTTTCCTATTTTATTTGAGTGAAGTATGATGTGTATTTTAATCCTCAACCAGGATCAGAATACATGCAGTTSTAGCCTTTTATGCATAGACTGGGTGCGAGCGCGCCACTGGTCTTTTTGTTAGACACACATATATTTACACACATACAAAACTATGCTAATCTAAACAGCAAGGCTGTATGTAAACAGATCGCCTACATAATGGGATTGTTCAGTGTGCAAACAATAAGCTGTTAGCGTAATCGCAGGTCAAAGATATATTACCCAGAGGGCCATGCTGTATGTATATTAATATGATGGATATGTAGAAGGGAGGAGGGGCACGGGGATACAGGGGATATAGAGCTTTACTGATTCAGATTTACCCCCTGCTGGGTCCTGTTCGCTGCCTTCTCTCCTGTAGCCTCCTGCTCAGGCCTAACTTAATCAGCTTTTGTCTTCTACTCATGCTCCTTCCCTCATTTACCRTTTCTGTTTTTAGACACCAATCTCCTCTCCTAGTTTACCATGGCTTCTTTCTAATGCCTAATTTCTGTCTGTACTCGCTCCAATGTCCTTTCTATTATTTCATTTCTGTCTCACTCTTGTCCTGGACACATGATCTGCTTCAGCAAAGTCATCAAGCCACCTATTTAGTCACTGCGACACCAGGATAAAGCAGTGTCACATTCCTGTTTTTGGATTAAGCGTAGAACAGACTGAGCAATATTAAGCTATTTAAGTTAATATAACCATATTTAATAAATAAACAAGAGTAAGAGAAAAATGACATGAAAAATGAACCAGAAAGATGGCATTTTGCAGTGCCATATTGGGGGGGGGGGGATTCTTATTATTTATATTAAAAACAAAATTCATAGTCACAGAAAGCTCACAGCATGGTATGTTCATTTTAGTTTATTTTTCCTATCATGCAGATCCGTCTCTCAACTGCTTAAAACGGCCATGTGCTCCTGATGAAATACTCCATTAGTGTCATTGCTGGCTTACTTGTAAGCTTGTTGTGAGCTTGTGGACCACTGAAGTTGATACACACCAGGCCAAAGTAAACATGACACAGTTTTCACTGGAGTGAACTTGAAAAAGAAACCTACTGTAGATTGTGCTTTTTTGAAAAGAATACTACAAGAATTAATTCATAGAAAACTGACACACTTGTTCAATCGGTTGCACCAACATTATTATTCTGGTCAGTGGAGTTTATTGATTTCACATTAGTTTACCACTAGTCTTTCATGGCCTTCCTTGTTTTCAATGAACTATAACCACTTTTTACCAGCAGGTGCCATCTGATTCTGACTGGGTGCTTTTGTCACTATGCAAGTTTAATGCCAATGGTGAAATGTGTTACAGTRATTAAGGCACTTTGAGGAGGCATTCATATAGTGGTTTTTGGTGCCCATGTTGTTAATCACAATAAATAAATGAAATAAAAAACACTTTTCAATAAATTATTGGAACTGCTGTAAAACCTCAAAATGAGTAGAAACACAAGTTCCCAGTCAGTCAAAATCCTTGTATCTTCATTTGTAATAAATTTCAAAGTTTACATAAATCTACTCCATTTGTCACTACTAATCTGTTTATGGCTTCATGGTGGGCTAAACAATTAAAATTGTCAACAAAACAACTTGTGGCCACACAGTTTCTGTATTTGAAAAAGGAATACTTGTTTTTCACTTTATGAAAAGTTGCATCTTTGGAGCTACATGGTTTCTGTCTGTCACTTATTAAACTGCAATGTTAAAAAAAGTAAAACTGGAGGATATGAAATTGGAAAACGGATTATTATCCACATTTTACTCTTCACAGAAACTCAGACAAGCAGTTCATACATTTTATGATTAAACTTTGCATTTACTCTTTTTAACTTGAAAAATCTGGAATAGCTCTAAGCTACAAAGTGGGGTTAAAGAAAGGTGGATTTACATAGCAGCGCATCATGTCAATTGCCCTTTTTTGATTTTTATCTCCAAGGCTGATGTGAAAAAAAATCARACATTAAAGGTGGTTACATTGTCAAAATCATTTGGGTATTTGGGTTAAAAAAGAGATTCAACAGTGGCATTTAAATAGGCACAGATCCTAATGCAGAGATGTGGTGGATTAGAGCTGTTCTGATAGTCAGGCTATAGTAAAGACAGAACAGGCCTCCATGTGTCACAGAGCTCATAACAGGGATGAATAATTGAACTTTTAAAGCCMTTTCTCCTACCTTACTCTGCCCTGAATATAAGCTTGAGCTCTATAGGTGGGCAGCAAGCCACCAAGTCCGTTCACTGAGATGAGATGAGCTCCCAAGAAGATTGGAAGASAGGGCGGGAGTGGAGCGAATCGGATTAGCCAAAATGCCTCAATTGKAAGAAATGCTCGTTGCCGACCTCAGCGTAATACCATTGATAAAACTGTAAACTGAATCTATAGTTTCTGACTGGGTAATGAAGGAAATCACAACTTTTAACATGGTAGACTCATTGTACATATGGGTTGTATGTGAATGATTATAGTCAAAAGGGACTTATGCTAAATGCTGCAGTTGCCACAATAAAAACTAATGAACGTGGAAAAGATAAATTGCCAGAAGCTGGTGACAGGTGGCATTTCAGTCAGCAACGTTAAACCAAGCAGTCTGCTTTCTGACAGCTTGATTTAGTCTCCACCAACTGAGCCAGAAAACAGAGACAAAATAATCAGAAAGAAAAGCAGCTTAACTTGATTCCAATTTGCCTCCTTGAAAAGACAGTTGATGATGCTAATGGAAAACAAGGGATGAACTTTTAGGTGACTGCAACAAGTTTACTGTGGTCATTCAAAAATAGTTCACTTTTGGGCTGAACACATTTTTAGTTATAAAAGTAACAGAACTGATTTAATTTGGTGGTTGTTCATTTTTCTCTGTCACCCGAGTTTGATCTTATTTTGGATTGATGTTCATGTTTGTCTTTAGGATACAAAATAAAGATTAGAGAGGCTCAAGCCTTTCTTTGTTAGATACATGCTGTTCTACCTGCTGTGAACAGGGTGTTATCCTCCGGTTTTGATGAAGTGAAAAGTTTGTGCGGTCCTGAAAGTTATAAACACAAGCCTTCTGGGCTCCCTACAGAGCAGAGAGTGGGAGACAGCAGGGAATAACCATATGCTATCAAGTTGTTGTTCAAAGCTCTTTTGTCTGCCGGATTTGTACAATTCCATCATGTGTGTACCTTACAAAAAAAGAAAAMTGTTATGCAGCAAAGTTCCTCAAAAAATATTGTTTAGAGACATGTATTTTGTTTTACAGATGTTTCAGTAAACACTGTATGCTTTAAACACTGAAGGGACATAACTTTGTTTGAACTGTGCACATGCTTCAATAGCTTGGGTCAGCGCATCAGTTTTGTTTTTACCTGCTTCAAAAAAACTGCTGGTGGTGAACAATTAAAAGTTTATGATTCCTTTAACAACGAGCCCCTTCACTGTTACCAGAGGTTAATTTGCACTCACCCCTCATTTCAAKTGTACCATAGTAAATGTCCACATTATTTCCCACATGTGCTTAAATGAGGGGCTTGATTATCAAAAAGGTAGACCTTGGCTAGCCATGTTATTATCAAAGGGGTTGTAAGCTGCAATACCAGATTCTAGGGTCTTATTGCTATGGCAATCAGCCCCTTGCCACTTGGCCTTTTCTGACCCCAGTCAGAGATAAGCTTTATGGGAAAGCCCATTAACATATTCTGGCAGTCACCTCTTTCTTGTATCAAAGGCAGTACTGTGAAATCAAGTGTTTATGGACCCCCTGTGAGGGCACGATGCTGCTGATTGCCTATAATAGAGGTTGCCTGTAAATGAGCTGGAGGTGGACAAAAGACGTGTAGTGGTGAGGAGAATTGAGGATGGGATACTGATGTTCTTGCTAAATGAGCAATAACTTTAATGAC